TCCATCCATCCATCCATCCATCCATCCATCCATCCATCCATCCATCATCTTCCTCTTGTTCTGAAGTCGGGTCGTGGGGGCAGCAGTTTGAGCAGGGAGACTCAGACACCTTTTTCCACAGCCACCTCTTCCAGTTCTTCTGGGAGGACTCCAAGGTGTTCCCAGGCCAACCGACAGACATAGTCTCTCCAGCGTGTCCTGGGTCCTCCCTGGGATTTCCTCCCAGTCAGGAGAATTTTAGCCCTGTTAAAATTGTCGTCTTTTTAGTGTGTTGGCCCCAGCTGTCTCTTTTTCCTCATAAGAGTATCAACCTCAACACCAAATTTATTTTTACTGTTGGATCTTTCCGCTTAAAGCAGGGCAAGTCAACTGGCAGCCCAGGGGCCAAATCAGGCCAGCAGATGAACTCAGTTTGGCCCACTAATGGGTTCATTTTAAATAAAACTAGATTTTAAACCATAAAACAAATTTACTTAATGAGAATAACTGCTGGATGTCCGGCCCCTGCATGAGCTCTTCGCTTTAAGTAACTATGGCCGCCTGAGCAATTTAGTTGAATAGTTGAATGTTGTTAGTCTAAAACAAGTCTCTGTTGAAAATGAATTCTCATGACTCAATAAGACTAACATGTATAAATGCAGGTTGAATGAAAAAAAATTACCCTAAAAAAATAGCCCTCCCTTAAAGTGTGACACAAGCAATAACTTACCGGTACATTAAACATTATAATTTAATAAATACATGTTCCAGCAATGATTGAAATTGGTGTTTCTTAGGTAAAAAAGTGTAGAAATCTATCTAATGTAATCTGATTTATCTCTTCGATAAAATAGACTGTTGTTAGTCTTTATATGCAGGAAAATTGGGCATCACCAACAATATTGTGGTATTTTTAGCATCAATTTTAAATTCAGAACATTGCATGTCACCACCACAAATATTAGCTAAAGACAAGATAAACTCTTTTTTTTTTTAATGTACATGAAAAGTTTTTTCAAATTGGATACTTTTGTGTCAGTTTTACAAACTGTAAAATCAGTGTGAATCCACAGGATACACACATTTAGGTTGCTGCTGCTGAGCTGCGTTATATTTACACCCTTTTTACACCTGAAATTATCACTTGTCCATGGTGAGCAGCTGGATGTACAATTTCACTGAGTATGACATAAAAGATGCATTAGCAAAAAAAACAAAAAAAAAAGTGCAAATGCAACATGTTTGCAGTAAAAAAAAAACAAGATATGTTTTTACATGCCCTCAGGAGAATTATTCCTACTTTGAAGCACCTCATCTTCAAAATGTGTGACAGAAAAAAGGTCAGGGGGTTTAAACAACTTTATTCCATCAAGTCTTTCTTGTCTCTTTCAGGTTTTGGACTATGAAACAAATAGCAGCTACAGTTTCACTGTTAAGGTGAAGGAAAACATGCACTTTTCTGCCGACAATGCAAAATGGGCCATAACAAGCGCAGAGGTACTTATTTGGCATGTGTTCTTTAATCCTTCCTCAAACAATGATACTGCCCTGTTTTTTAATTAGGAGACAGAGACAGAAAAGAAGTGAGACATGGAAATAACAGCACAACACAAGAGAGATTTTTAAAATTATCATTATTATTTTTTTACAAAAGCTGCATTTTCTGCTTCAGTTGTGAAGAAAAGGTTAACATAGATGTTAGCATGTAAGTCTATGTAATGACATTATTTATTGGTACGTGTGAAAGATATGACATTTTATGTGAAGAATTACTAACCAAACTGCAAATGTTCCAAATATTGACAGGTGAACGTCATGGTGACCGATGTAGATGAGCCACCGGTTTTCTCTGAATCTACCTACACCTTCAAGGTTTTGGAAGAGCAGATGGTGAATCAAATAGGAAGGGTCCAAGCCAGAGATCCTGACAAAGCCAACAGGAATATTCAGTATGATTCTGCAAAAAAAAACTCCCCAACAAAATAACACGTATTGTTGCAGCTGGTTGTTTGACTGATCCCTTGCTCTCACTGTTTAGGTACACGATCTTGGACAAGGACTGTCCCATCGGTATCAATCCCATCACAGGTCAATTGTTCACCTTGAAAAAGCTGGACAGAGAGCTGCAGGCAACACACATGTTTCAAGTTAAGGCGCAGGAGGATCCAGATGGTAGGTCACGCAGTCACACAAAGGCTGCACAAATTTATTAATCCTGTCTCGTAAAAACAATAGATCCTCAGATTAAAAGATGGAAACCATGTGTTTCTCTTCAACAAGACGAGGGCGTCATGGAGAGGCTAAAGAGGACAGCACGTTCCGTTGTTTGCAGCTTTTATTGTGGGTTTATGAAGGATGAGAGCAAAACACATTAACAGGGATTTTTATAGACTTGAAACATTTCACTAACACCTGGTCGAGTCACACTGGAAATAGACACTAAGCAGGAAAATCACATTAGTGTGTCCTTTTGTGCATTTGCTGCTTCCAAGATGAACCCCATATTTATAGACAAGCAATGAATGAAACCCATAGATCTATTTTAGTTGCTTGTCACGATTTTTAAGGAGCATAATGGTCCCCTGAGCTTGATGAGGTCCTCAACATATACTACTTGTGCTGTACTAAAGATAGTTTTTAAATCTCAGTGCAAGAGACAGCAAAGAGACTTGTGGTTTTATCAAAAGAAGAATATTTAAAAGGAGCATCAAAATACACACCAATAAGATGCTTTAATGCAACAACAACAACAACAAAAAAAAAACTGTCAAACAAAAAGAAAACCTTTAAGCTTGTTGACCTTGTTTAAAATCGTCATTCACACATTGTTGTGGCAATCAGATGTGTTGATCAAAGAGTGTGATTTTCTCTTCCTTGTAGGTTTGGAGTCATTTGTAAAAGTTAATATCAACGTTCTAGATGTCAACGACAACAAGCCTGAACTGAACGTAGATGAGATCTTTGTCTGTGAGAATGACGTGAAAAATACGGTAAGAAAAATAATTATTTCATAGAATTTTAGACATTTAAAATATCGTTTTTTTTTTAGATTTTTATTTCACTCAAGCATACAGGTAGTTTTCATGATTGAGCTTGCAGTCACAGTCACGTAAACCAGCGTCTCACTGGGCTGCTGCTATGGCAACTTAAAACTGGAAGAAAATGGGTGAACTTTTCAGTCACAGTATCAATAAATTCTGAGTGTTTGAAACCAACCAACCAGAGAATCACGTGGGACTTTGTGCTGACTTTAAAAAAAAAAAATCACAGCCTATTTCTTGTGTGTATGGCATGCTCAAGCAGTGGTTCCCAACCCTGGTCCCTGAGGAACACCGTCCTGTATGTTTTAGTTGTTCTTATGTGAATGAAAAGGTGATTAACAGGCTTCTGTCAAACTTAAGGAAGTAATTAAACCACTGAATCAGGTGTGTTGGAGCAGAGAAACAACTAAAACATGCAGAATGGTGTTCCTCAAGGTCCAGGGTTGGGAAACCACTGTTCTAGACTGTGCACATGATTTTGTGATCCAGCTCTGTCCACTTTGTACCCACATTAATAGCCACTCAGATGATTGTGATTTAATCTACAGGAGTACACTTTTTAAAGGGAAATTTGTGTATTTGGACCGTTCTTTAATATATTAACTATCTACAGTGTTGTTTTTAGACCATTCAGGTTTTTTGTCATAGTAGAGCTTCCATGCAAATGTTAAAATAAAGCTCTAACACACTAGAATTTATGGAAGCTAAACTCAGAAGAGTTTGTAATGGGTTTCAGGCACATGCAACAGTTGTGCGACTATTTTGAAGCAAAATTTGTTGCCCAAATGTATTGATCGTGTTCAACATTGAAGCAATGCAACAGAGAGCCTCTGAGAGTCAAGCAAAAAAAACAAAAAACCTTAGAACCATCTGCAAACATTTCGAGACATTTTAAAGACTCTTTTGCAAACTCAGTTCACCAGCTAGTCACCAACAGTCACAGCTCAGTGAGATGGTTGCTTGTCCAATAAAGTTCAGGCACACAGCGTTGTTTTATACATTAACAGAAATGCGCCGATTTTTGATCGTAGTTCTTTCATGTTGTTTTGTTTCCAACAAATGCACTCCTGTAGCTTAAGAAGATCCAGCTTTTATTTTTATTTTTATTTTTGACTTTAGACAGAATGAGAAATAGAATAATTAAAATGTGTATGCATGATCTAGGATTCCAGCTTATAATACATGTCTGATTTTGGACACATAAAATAAAAAAAATAAACATTTCAAGTGAATGAATAATATTTGCAAAAGAACATGACTTAGCATGCAAACAATATAAACTACACTGTTTTGAATGGCATTGCCCCCAAGTAAGCAATTAAATGTCTCTCTGTCCTCAGGTAATTGGGCTCTTGCAAGCCAGAGATAAAGATGACCAATTAGCCACCTTCTCCTTCAGCCTTGCCAGTCAGAACTCCAACTTCACCATTAGAGACCACGGCAGTGAGTCCTTTGCACTTTTCCCCCTCTTGTTTTCTTGCACGTTGTTCTAAACAGAAAGAGCATCTCAGACCAGTCTTAGTCTCGGGGCTTGTTGCTATGCAACAGGTGAAACTGCTTGAAGCTGTGATGATGCTGAAATTTGTTGTTATTTTAACTTTTCTACTTTAGTTTCCCAAAGCACTTAGCACACCTGACTGGGGCTTTAAGTGCTGTCTTGAATACATAAAAGCAAAATCACAAGCTGGTAAAAGCAGGCGGGTCAGACACATGCCACAAAGCACAGTCGGGAAGCTTCTTTTTTTATAATAAAATTATTAAAAGTTATACTCACCAATGTAAATTAGAGGAGAAACTGCTTAATAAAAAAGGTTTAAGGCTTATATGTACATTCTGATCATTTTTGTATTTTTCAGAAATATTCTTGATTAAAAATCATCCAGTGCTTAAATTCATTATTTCACCGTGTCAATGGCGCATGAAGAACCAAGCTCATTTCTACAGGATTGCAGAGCATTTAAATTGCTGTTTACATGTCTGGTTTTGATCTACAGTAACTTGCATTATGAATCACGTTAACCCAACAATCACAAATGAGCATTTGGAAGACATTTTTAGTTCTCTTTAGTCCTAATAAATGAGAGAAATTGTTTGTGTGTCCTTCTCATCTCAGGGACATTCACTGTCATTGCATCCAGGTCAGTGGAGCTGACCAGGTACAGCAGACTGGGTTCCTTCTCTGTAATGAAGCATCTAGAGCTTGAAGTTTAAAAAGACGGATTGGAGAACATGGTCAAATTAGGAGTAAAGTTCTGTATAAATCAACTTAACAGTAGATAATCAGTGTGAGTAAACTGGACAGAGAGAGCGAGAGAGACTGGAGCCTTTTCTACTTTAGTATATTTGCTAAAAAAATGTTGAAAAATTACACTAATATTTTTTCCAGTTTAAATGTTTAAGTCGCAGTAGTATTACCATACTGTTTGATGCAAGAATTTCATAATTTAAAGTTCCAGAAAGTTTCCACAAGTTCCACAGGAATGTTTTGTAAATAAATAAATAAAATAAATGCCCATCCTAATTAAAGGCAAAGCATTTTAGCTCATTTTATGTAGCAAAATGACAGTTATAATCATTTTGTTTAAACCTTGAAAATATTGTGATGCAATACTGTATTGTAAGATTTTGTGTGACCAGTTAGTGTTAATAGAATGTATTGTGAATGACTCTACTACTACAACACCAATGTTTAGTTTATTATCCTTAAAAACTGACTAATCTATAGCAATTTATGTGTTGGCTAAGGTTGATTTACTGTGGCAGCTATCTTACTTGGGGTGTACTTCAAAAGATATTCAGATATAAATGTAGATCTACTGATTCATTTCTGAAAGTTTCACAACCTGAGCATTGGTCCATAAGATATTTTGCCAACAGTCAGACATGGTTGACTCCAATAAATTCCCAATAAATAGTGCTTGGAGAATTTGTTGGGTGTGACTAAGTTACTACTAAATTTGAGCTCAATATCTGTGAAATTTAACTGAGTTAAAGTCATTTTAGTGTATTTTTTAATTTTTTATTATTATTATTTAGTTGGGTGAGGTGTTCGTCCTGAAATGGGTTGACTTCAAAATCAGGTGTATTCTATTCAATCAGTTTTGGTTACTTTCTGAAATGTAATAATGTGCAAAGTAATATTAAATGTATGAATGTAAATAATGAATCTTCTTCATACACCAAAGTTAGTCAAGGAGATCCTCAGGGTTCAGTGCTAGGACCAGTACTCTTTACCTTATATATGCTTCCATTAGGTAAAGTTATAAACAGCATGGGATAAATTTTCATTATGCTGATGATACTTAGTTATATTTGTCCATGAAACTCAATGAATCCAATCAGCTATAACTACAAGCATGTCTTAAAGACATAAAAACCTGGATGACCCTAAATTTTCTGCTTTTGAACACAGACAAGACTGAAGTTTTTTTTTGTTTTTGGACCTGAGCGTCTTAGGAGTAAATTTTGCAACCTTTTTTCCTCCTTGGATGGCATTAATCTGACTTCTAGTTCTAATGTTAACAATCTTGGTGTTATTTTTGATCAGGACATGTCTTTTATCCCCCAAATTAAAAATGTTACACCGCCTTCTTCCACCTGCGTAATATCACTAAAATTACAAGCATCTTATCTAAAAAATGATGCAGAAAAGCAGGTTCATGCATTTGTCACATCTAGACTGTA